AGATTCTCATAGACTCAAGGTAAAGGGATAGAAAAAAATATTCCATGCAAATAGAAATCAAAAGCGAGCAGGAGTAACTATTTTTACATCAGATAAAATAGACTTTAAATCAACAACAGTAAAAAAAGAAGACAAATATGGTCATTATAGAATGATAAAGGGATCAATTGAACAAAATGCAGGGTTTTTGACACTCATTTCGTGGCAAGACCTGACCGGCACTGATTTGAGGCTACTGAGCTAGTATCTTCACTTCTCCCTTTATTCACTTGACTGCATGCATTTGTTTAGTGAGTGTTTATTTCCCAACAAGTGTGTGCTAGGGGGTGGGGGCAACGGAAGAAGCAAACGAAGTAGTCAAAGTGAAAACCCTTTAAAAACCACAGAGTACCTGCCCATTTTGTTCTGCTTACTACTTGGTATTCTAGGCATACATTAACTCATAGCATGTCACCCTTTGTGATACCTTGTTATGTTAGCTCTCCAAGACCCTGGAGGGGAGGGAGGGGCAGGTCTTAGTAGTCCTCCTTTGTAAACTTGAAAGACAGATACCCAGTGCAGGATTTTGATACATTAAATGTCCAGGAGCAAGTTGCTCCTCTGGTCTGGGAGTGATGGGCTACTTTCCTTGGAGTGTGCTCAGTGTTTATATATTCAAGCTAACTGCCTCCTAAAGAAGGATTCCTAATGTGTCCTTTGGGCCATGCTAAAAATGCAGCTCTTTCTGTACTAGATCCTGGTAATACATGGCAAGGTATGGAAATAAGAACTGAATAGCCAACGTGGGGAACATGAGTTGGTGACTCTAAGAGATGTGTCACTACTACTGACTTTGAGAAGGGCCATGGCCACCATTCAGCTTGCAATTGGTTGCCTGAGGAATGTGGGTGTGCAAGTTACAACAAAGCTGCTGCTTGGGTGGTCCTTTACCTCTGTCACTTCAAAGTTGAAGAAAGGTGGCGCCTCATAGATTCCAGGTTGGACAGGTTAGGGGTAACCTGCTTGATGGAGGTGGGTGTTGCTCAACAGATTTTCAGCCAATAGCCTCTTTTATCCTGCCCATGGGCAAAGGCAAAGCCATCTAGGACCTTGCCTTTTGTCATAGAACGGACCCTTCCTTCCCTTATTCTGCTGTGGAGGCCCAGAAGACTTGATGGGAGGTGGGCCTGGCTCTATGGAGAGGGGGAGGCCTATCCTAAGGGGCCGATAAGACATTCCGCTCTTCGATTCTGCATGTTTGTGATAAATCAGGTGGCATATTTTGCTCCCTTGTGCTTTCTGTTTTATCATTTAGAGTTTAAAAGTGGCTTCTGTGTTTTTCTCAAACTCAATGATATTTATTTAAATAAAGTAATACTTGTTCATTACATAAATGAGTAAAATACAGAGGAACAAAAGGAAAAGGAAGAAAGCACGTCACCCACCATTAACATTTTAGTTAAGTTCTTCCTAGGTTTTTTAGTATTTGTGTGTTTTTTGGGAGGGCCTGAAGATAGTTGTGTTTAACATTTTTACACAATTGGGATGTAGCTGTATATACAGGTTTGTATCTCCTCTCTGTATCAGTAAATAACCTTGGGTGTGGTTTCCATGGCTGTATACCTTTCGGCTGCTATTGGCTTTCTCTGTTGGACATTTCATTGTCACTTTTTCATGATTGTAATTACACTGAGCAGCACATTCTTGTTTATAAATGATAATATGATCCATATCTCAGATTATTTCATAATGCAGTAGTGTCCTCTTATCTGTGGCTTTGCATTCCACAGTTTCATTTACCTGTGGTCAGCCATGATTTGAAAATAGGTGAGAACAGTACAATAAGATCTTTTGGGGGGGGGCAGGGAAGAGAGATATCACATTCACATAACTTTTATTACAGTATATTCTCATAATTGTTCTATATTTATTAATCTCTTAGTATACATAGTTTATAAATCAAACTATATCACAGGTATGTGTATACAGGAAGAAAACATAGTAGAGTGATATGTAGGATTCAGTACTGTCTGTGGTTTCAGGCATCCACTGGGGATCTTGGAACTTACCTTCATGGATAAGGGGTGTTGCCATATCCATTTTTGGTTCTGGAATGATTGGATCACTTAATGAAGCCTGTCGGTGCGGATGTAGAGTTTTGGTGCATTTACACTGTAGCAGAGATGTGTCCATATGGGCTAGTGCTAAAATGTAAGTCATAACTATCCAATTAAAGAACAGCCTTTCTACTCACATTTGGATTCTGAAAGTGCATGCTGTTCGTATCAACCTGTGGTGTTGGTTAGTGTTTCTGTATACAAAGACTATGCCAGTCCTCACGTGACAGCTTTCAATGTACAGGTATGGTCTCTTTAATAACAATACTTATTTATCGAAGTAAGATCTTACAGGGCAATAGTTTATCTAAAGAGTCCACGAGGGATTACTCACACACTTACTAATGAGCCTTCCCTGTTGTGAGAAATGGACAATCTTAGCCTGGATGTGTGTCATATGATTTTTTTTCTAATTTTTTTTTCCCTTAAATAACGCTTTCATACATGCCAACATTTATGGCTCCTCGTTCATGCAGTTGCTGGGATGCCAGCCTCTGGGGTGTCCCACCCCTGCCTTGCTGCCTTGGTCCCAGTTACCAGCACTGCGTAGCCTTTCAGGAGCCTTTGCCAGTTCTGTGTCGTCAGCCCGAGGGGCTTTCAGGTCCCTCCCCAGCGGGTCGAGGCTTCCTTTTCCTCTGCGTGCGGCTCTCTGTGTCCCTCTGAAGGGGCAGGTTTCCTCTTCCGTGGTACTCAGCCCCGTTGGCCACCTCGGCTGCGGCGGTGGGCTGGTGCGAGCCCCGCTTGACGTCTGGCCTCCCCGCTCGCTTCCTCCTGCCGAGCCCAGGCTCGCCAGTGATGGGGAGGTCGGTGGGCGCCGGGTCTCTCTACCGCCAGTCGAGACTGACCATTCTCTTGGGGAGGCTCAGCAGAAGGTCTTTGCGCTGTACGGTTTTGGACGTCGATAAGCCAAGGACTTCACTAATGTCTCCGCTGTTTTCTAGAAAAGAAGAAGCTGAGGAGGGGCAGGCTGTCGCGCGACTGGCGGGAGAGGAGGAACGCCATCCAGCTCACCAATGAGCACACGGTAGAGACCCTGGTGGTGGCCGACGCGGACATGGTGCAGTACCACGGGGCGGAGGCTGCCCAGAGGTTCATCCTCACCGTCATGAACATGGTGAGTCTGGGGTTGGGGTCCTGACACAGGTGGGCTCTGTTTTCTCCTGATGAGAGCTCTGGGAGCAGGTGCCATGTCCTGTCACCTCAGGAGAGGAAGAAGCTGGGTTGGGGGCATAGGGGGGAACACAGCCTTGTGATTCCCGGGCATCGCAGAGGGCACGACTGGGGGGCTTCCCTCTGGGAAAGTGCCTGCCTACCAGCTCTGTCCGGGTGTGGGGTTGAAGTGTCTGATCTGCTCAGTGGTCGGGCTGCTCGTTAGCAGAAGGCTGCTGAAGTCTCTTGCTACACACAAGATCCACGCCAAGGGGCATTAAAAGTTGAGTGAGTCCCAGACCCTGCTCTAAGGAGTCAACTGTGGAGTGGGCGGAATCAAACCAGCTTTACTGGAAAACAGAATCTGCCATGGGCTGAGAGGGCCTGGTGGGCAGTGGGGAGAGAGGTCATCTAGTTGAGGGAGCCATGGAAGGAGTCACGAAGCCTGTGTTTGCATCTGATTCGTTGAATGGGGATGGTGGGAAACCCTCTTTACATAATGGGGATGGGGGAGGCTGCACTCCTCGAATACTGCATCTTCAGAGGCATACTAGCTCCACCGTCCATCCATGTTCCCAACAAGTGTTTTTGACAACCTTCAAAAGCCTTTGGCATTGTGGTAGGTGCCAGGGGTATACAAATGCAAAAGAGACCTGGTCCTTCCCTTGAAAGGCAGTGGCATTAACAGATGAATAAAGCATCCATGCTACAGTAGAAACATCTGTGGGGGCCCCTGGGGCCCAGGTGGAGGGCTGGTGTGGGATCACCCTGCAGCATGAGGCTTCGTGCAAGAGTGAAACCTGAACAGGGAGTGAGTACCTGCCAATTTGGGGGTAGGTGGCAAGGTCATGCAGCAGGAGCCAGGCCTGGAGGTCTGTCAGCTCCATGTGGGGAGGGCAGGTGGCTGGAACAGGAGTGGAGGGGCCCTAGGGTGTGGGTGGAGGTGTGGACAGGGTTAGGGTGGCGGGTACCCTGAGGAGTGTGGGCTCTACCCCGAGGAGTGGGGCCACTCTCTGGAGGGGTGGAGAGCAGCATGCCCAGGTGGATGTTTGGAAGGACAGCCCAGTGTCTGCAGGGAAGGTGCGTGTGGAGCATCATGGATGGTGCATGTGTGGGGAAAGGGCCAGAGCTGAGGGGTGGGAGTGAGTGGAGGAGGTGCTGGGAGGAAAGACCCACAGGAGTCAGTGACCAGCAGGATGCAGGAGGCGGTGGCGAGGGAAATGCAGGCTCCACCTGGGCTTCAAGCTGGGTGCCTGGGTGGACGGTGGAGTCACTGGCTGAGAAAAGAAGCAGAGAGAGTTTGGGGCCACAGCAAGGAGTTCTGATGTGGTCAGGGTCATACAGGAAGTGGCTGGCAGGGCCGTGACCACCAGACCAAACCTCTCCCTTAACTGGCTACAGGAAAGTACCCCATCCTGTTTGGTCAGACTTTCCAGGGCTGGCTTTGGGACACACATGTCTCTGACTGGAGGAAACTCCCTCTGCTTTGTCGATGGCCCTCAGGCACGCTGTGCTCTGCAGCGGAGGCTGTGTGCGTGGCACTTTGAGACTGTAGACTTCCTTTCTAAGGGTGAATCCTGTCCCATTGTGTGTATGTGCCACATTGTGTGTATGCATTCATCCACTGATGCACACTTGGGCTGCTTCCACCCTTTGGCTGTTGTGAATAGTGCCGCTGTGAGCATGGGTGTGCAAATATCTGGTCAAGTCCCTGCTTTCAATTCTTTCGGGTATATCCCTGGAAATGGAATTACTTTGGTTAACTTTTAATGGTGCTTGGCCGTGGTTCCTGAGAGATATTTCCGTGTTCTTCATTTGCACAAACCCAGGTCTGCCTGGTAGCTGGTTAATGATGGGCTGCAGCATTCACGTCTCCCCAGAGGAAGCCCACCAGGAGGGCTGGGGGGCCTGGCTCTGCACCACACTCTTTCATCTGCAGATTTTTTCATCTCGTTTTAAAAAATTCTCCTGGGCACAAGTGCAAGGAATAAACATTCATTACAACAACAAAGATGGTAATAAGGCAGAGCTTCCACTTTGATATTGCTGTCATAATTCATCGTCCAGGCAGGGAGGTGGAGGGGTGGGGATGGTACATGGAGACATCCTTACTCCTCCCCACCCCTTGTGGGCCATAAGGACTAAAACAGCAGTCCCCAGCCATTTCGGCACCAGGGAGGGGTTTCACAGAAGACAGTTTTTCCATGGACCTGGGGTGGCAGGTGGGGGGATGGTTTCAGGATGATTCAAGCACATTACATGTATTGTGTACTTTATTTCTGTTATTATTACATTGTAATATATAATGAAATAATTATACAACTCCCCATAACGCAGAATCAGTGGAAGCCCTAAGCTTGTATTCTTGCAACTAGACAGTTGCATCTGGGGGTGATGTGAGACAGTGACTGACAGGAGGTGGAGCTCAGGCTGTGACGTGAGCGATGGGGAGCGGCTGCAAATACAGATGAAGGTTCGCTCACTAGCCTGCCACTCACCTCCTGCTGGGCAGCCCAGTTCCTAACAGGCCACGGACCGGTACCAGTACCAGTCTGCAGCCCTGGGGTTGGGGACCATAGGACTAAAGGACAGGGACTGAAGAGTTCCATTCCTTGCCTCTAAGAGGAGGACAGCCTTCACTCTTCTTCAGCTGCTTGTGCTAAAACATTGGAGGCTCCAGAGCCCATTGCTTAGGGTACATTTGGGGCCAACCACGAGCAGTCTGGATTTAGACGTTTCCTGAGGAGGCCCACCCAGGGCACGGTGCAGTGACACTTAGCTTTTCCATCATCCGTACTTGGCGTTTCAGGGCCTGTCTGATCAGGCCCCTCACACAGGTCGGCTGACACCACCCTGCAGCAGCCCTCCCCTGCCACCGTAGACGTAGGCCGCTGTTCAGTAAATGAGAGACAAGTTCCGTTCAGACACGATGCCTTGTTTTAAATGAGACCATCTCTCACCAGCACCACCCTCCTTCAATCCCTCAAATCCTAGTTTAGGAAATCCAAAGAATTTTCTCCTGCCTGTGGCTGTTTTAGAAAAGGGATTTCTGTTAGTAAGTGAGATAATTTTAAGCCAGGAGGAGGGGGAAGGATTGTGGCTGGGACCAGGAGCCCTGTCATTAGTCGAGCCTCCCAGGAGCCTCGAGCAGGAACACGATGCCAGTGAGCCCATCTGTCTCCCTGCAGAGCGTTTTTTCTGTGGGGCTGCAGGATGGAAGTGGCTCTGTCTCCTTAACCCCTCTGGATTTGGAGATTTGGAAAGAAACCTGCTGGAGTGGGTTGCTTCCAACCCACGTTCCTTCCAACACATTTCTCTCCAGGTGGTGGGAAATAGCAACCCTGGTGCCAGTGGCCAGGCAGACTCCCTTGCCCCCTGCCCTCCCACTTGGGTCTCTGTGGCAGGGGTCCAGCAGGCCACCCTGGCCCCCAGGAAGAACCTGATCAGGCCTCTGTCCCCAACACAGACCAGGAGCTTGTGGCACCTTGGAGGGCTGACACCATATCCAAAGCTGGGAGAATTTGGCCTCTAATGTTTGCTCACGGGTTTTACAGCATCTCACAGGTATGATTGATGCATTAGATCAGCCATCAACCAGGGGCCCCCTCGCCCTTGTTTAAGTGAAAGAGAAGTGGGAGGCTTGTGATGCACCAACCAGCCCAGACAGCAGACGGGTGCCTTCATGTCACTGCCTTCTGATACCTGGTTGGGTTTTGTCATTCCCACTTCACAGAGAAGGCAGTGGAAGCTCAGGGAAGTGACAGAGCTGAGGTGTGGAGCCCGTGAGCACACACACGGGCAAGGACTGCATCCCAGGGCTGAGGGACCCCTGTGTCAAGGTGACAGGCATGTCTGGAGTCCCTCCTTTCTCTCCATCTTCACCCTAGACTCACTGCCATCATTTCTGGCCTTGACAGCTACTGGAGTATCCTTGCTGGGCTCTTCACTTCCCTTGTCTTCCCCCTTGAATCCTTGCTACAGAATGGCCAGCAGGGTCTTCCTCCAATGGAATTAGGGCCTTGTCACCAGGGAGTATTGAGCCTCCCATGGCTTCCCCTTCCTTTGGATGGGGAACCCCCTTTCATGGGGCTCTCCCAATAAAGCAAAGCCCAGGACCCAGTGGGCTCCCTGCTGAGTTCTACCAAACATCCAAAGAAGAGCTAACACCAGCTCTCCTCAGACTCTTGCAAAAAATTGAGGAGGAAAGAACACTTCCTAACTCATTCTGTGAGGCCAAGCATTCCCTGATACCAAAGACAAAGAACACTATAGTTCCTTATGAACAAGAAAACAATATCCCTTATGAACATTGATGCAAAAATCCTCAATACATTCCTAGTAAACCAAATTCAATAGCATGTTAAAAGGATTATGCACCATGACAAAGTGGGATTTATCCTTGTGTAAGAATGGTTCAACATATGCAATCAGTAAACATGATGCACCACATTAACAAAACGAAGGGAGAAAAGCCACGTGATCATCCCAATTGATGCAGAGAAAGAATTTGACAAAATTCAGCACCTTTTTGTGATAAAAGCATACAATAAACTTAGGAATAGAAGGAAACTACCTCAACATCATAAGAGCCATATATTGAAAATCCACGGTTAATACTATACCCAGTGTTGAAAGACTGAAAGCTTTTCCTCTAAAATCAGGAACAAAGCAAGAGTGCCTGCTTTCATCACTTCTGTTCTGTACTGGAAGTTTAGCCAGAGCTATTAGGGAAAAGAAAAGCATCCAAATAGGAAAGGAAGAAGTAAGATGATCAGTAATCACAGATGACATTATCTTATACGTAGAAAATCCTAATAATCTCTCTCTCTCTCTCTCTCACACTCACACACACACACACTCTGTTAGAACTAATAAACAAATTCAGCAAAATAGCAGTATACAAAAACCAACAATGAAAAATATGAAAAAGAAATTTAGAAAATAGTTCCATTTACAGTAGCATCA